GGCAAAGGTCATATGAACTCACAGAGACTGACACAGCACAGACAGGGCCTGCACGGGTCTGCAGCAGGTCCTCTGTGTCTGCACTACGGCCTCCAGTTTAGCGTGTGAACAAATGGGTCTCTGATTCTTCTACCTTCTCTTTGGGTTCTTTTGCTTCTGGTTTGTCTTGTCCAATTTTGACCTGCTAGGTTTTTTTGTTGTTGTTGTTTTTGGGTTTTTTGTTTGTTTTGGGGTTTTTTGCTTGTTTGTTTTTGTTTTTCAAGACAGGATTTCTCTGTGTAACCCTAGGTGTCCTGGAACTAGCTCTGTAAACCAGGCTAGCTTGAACTGATACGCCTGCCTCTGCCTCCCAAATGCTGGGATTAAAGGCATGTGCCCCACCACCTGGCCGATCTGATAGTTTTTATTTTATCGTTTCTTTTTTTTTTTTAAATGAATAAACCTGGATTGAGGTGGGTGGTCCTCGGACTTCCCAATCAGGGAACCCTGATTGCTCTTTGGGCTGATGAGGAGGGGGACTCGATCGGGGGAGGGGGACTTGATCGAGGGGAGGGGAAGGGAAATGGGAGGCAGTGGCGGGGAGGAGGCAGAAATCTTTAATAAATAAATTAATTAATTAAAAATAATGAATAAATGAGTGAAAACCTAGCCGCTAGGGTAGAAGTTAATGACTAAGCTGTGGGAGGGAAGATCAGTTTTCTCCAGTGGAATGACACCGAGTTTACCAACTACTTACTCCAGGGCGGACCTCATGTTCAGGAGTAGCTGATCTACATATAATGGGCTCCACTGTCTTTTTGTGTACTCTCTTTTGGTTACAGTTTGGATTTTTGTTTGTTTTGTTTTCTTTTCTTTTTGAATATTGATATATTTTGTATTCTAGGTTTTGGGAGGTTTATTCTTGTTTTTTGGGGTTTGTTTGTTTTGTTTGTTTTTTTTTTTTTTGTCTTTTAGAAAGAACTTAAAGTTGGATGGGTAGGGAAGAGGAGAGGATCTGGAAGGAATTGGGGGAGGGGAAGAATACTGAAATTTCCAAACTGTTTTATATAATAAAAACGTTTTTAAAAACTGAGAAAACATTTGCAGTGTGAATGGCAGTGGAGTTGTAATAGCTCAATTTTAGAAAAAGAAAACAATAAAATTGACCAAATGATAACAATAAAATTGACCAAATGATAGTATAACTCACAGAAGGGGAAAGGCAGTCCAGAACACAATCCACCAACACATTGGAAAATACACAAACAATAACTTTAAAAAATTGAAACTCTTGGGAAGTCAAGGTCACCCTGTGTGGAGGGTGGCCTTTGCTACACCTTACGGCTAAGCTCCAAGGCAATGCATGCCCTTTTAATAGCAGTTGGCAGAATATTTTAAGACTTTAAATGAGCTTACCATATGATTCAGCAATGGAAATCGATTCTACAGAAATAGAGGCTAAAGCTACCTCTAACCAGTTTGCCTCCAATGGCAATGTTTTTCATGGTTAAGAAAACAGATGGGAAATAGCCTCTCACCATCTCAGTTGTGGGAGTTACGGTACAAGCCGTGGTCAGTACAGACTGTGGAAAGCCTACAGGAGCTGAGAGACAAGCAAGCGTCCTGCACCTGACAAGTTGATAAATGAGAGGAGAATTGAATAGCCACGTGAAGATTAAAAACGCATCCCCTCTTAGGTCTCTACGTGAGCAAACATAGGAAAAACCGGAAAGATGGGCAGCATTTTAATATCGACTGTTTCAGCCTTGGAACGGCTGTGGGGAAGGGGAAAAGGGGACTTCTGGTTTTCATTTTACACTTTTGCTTTATTTTATTTGTTTGTTTGTTTGTTTGTTTTTCCAGGACAGGGTTTCTCTGTATAGTCCTGGCCGTCCTGGAAATCACTCTGTAGACCAGGCTGGCTTGGAACTCAGAGATCCACCTGCCTCTGCCTCCTAGGATTAAAGGTGTTTGCTGCCACCATCCAGCCGATACTTTTTTAAAAATACAAGATAAGATCTCATCACATATATAAAAAGATCTCACCATGTAACCCAGGCTGGTCTCAAACTCAAGGATCTTTTGGTTCATCTCCTGAGTGTTGAGATTATTTCATTTTATAGATAGCAGAGGAAGTGTGTGTGTGTGTGTGTGTGTGTGTGTGTGTGTGTATGAACACCAGAGCTATTGCCACGTTTTTTGAGACAAGGTCTCTCTGAAGCGGGAGCACACTGATTCAACTAGAGTGATGGGCCAGCCACACCAGGGGTCCCTAGCACTGTGAGCACAGACACGCATCACCACACCCAGCTTTTCGTGTGGGTGCTGGGGATCTGAACTGCTTAGGCTCACATGGCAAGCTCTTCATGGACTGGGCTATGTCCACAGCTCCACTTATTCTCTTCTTTTTACTAAAAAAGGAAGGCAATGTCTGAAGGAAAGAGACAAACCTCTGTTCTGGCTGGGAAGGGGAACCAGTGCGAAGGATGCCATTGGTGTGAGAGATGCTTTAAGTTCCATCATAACCAAAACCACACACAGCCAAAACACAGTTAAATATCAAAGACCTGAAACGTATGTGATCTCATAACTGAAAAATATATTTGATAGAAATATATAGCTGCTTCAGATTCATTTGAATAAAATGTTTAAAAAAATAATTAGCACAATGCACTAACAACTAGTGAGAAAAAAAGCCATGGAATCTGAAGGAGAGCGGGAGAGGCATATGGAATCGTTTGAAGGAAGGAAAGAGAAGAAAGAAATGTTATTATAGTATAATCTAAAAATTTAAAAATGATTAAGGCATAACTGTCACATAAAAGTCAAGGCACTTAGTGAGATTCTAGAGAAGGTAAACAAAGGAGATAAACACATAATTTAATTTCGTACATTTGTGTGTGTGTGTGTGTGTGTGTGTGTGTGTGTGTGTGTGTGTGTGTGCAGGTACATGACATGAATGTGTAGGTTAGAAGACATCGGGAAGTTGGTTCTCTCCTTCCACCATGTGGCTTCTGGGGATCGAACCTGGGTCATCATGCTTAGCAACAAACGCCTTTACCTGCTGGGCCATCTTGCTAGCCAAGACATTTTAAAGGAAGGGGAGACTGCATATCATGCGGGACAGTTTTGTTTCCAAGGAGAACTGCATATTTAGCTGCACATAAAACCACGAAGAATGAATCCAAAACAGTCACTGAACACACACCGTTCACTCTCGGGTTATTTTGTGTGTGGAGCAAGGAAGGCTTCTTCAAATGTTCCACGTGTGACCCCCTTTCTCCGGAGAAAGTGTTACACAAATTTGCATGCTCATGATACGAATGTGCGTGTTTACTTTTACATAATTAAATATTGGCTGAATGTTATTGCCCAACAATATTTTTCAGAGATTACCAAAATTTTTATTTTATAATCAATCACCAATGCCGAGAATACCATTTCCCATCAACATGCAGTACAAAATGGGAAAAACACATTTCAGAAACTGTTTTCTGTCATGTTTCTGTGAGAACAGAAAACTTTGTATGCATAGTAAAACACACTGGGCGTGGAGGTGACGACTCAGCAGTAGTGGAACTTGCTGCCCACCCTTGAGGGCCCGAGCTCCAGCCCCAGGAGCCCAGTTGTCCTCTGTCTTCCAACACAGGCACCATGTCATATGCACGCATGCAACACACACGTAGGCCACACACACAGTGTTTAACTGGGTCACGGTATTTCCTGCAGCATTAATTGTACCCATGTAGCAGTACCAAGTGTGCATGTGCTCAGAACCAAGGCGATGATGAAACTGCATGGTGTTACAGGAGTGGGCACTGCCAGACGCATCCCATGCTTGATTTAAAATTAATCTGTCATTATTGTATAATCAGAAACTTTTACCGTTGTCAGTTTTTTTTTTTGTTTTTTTTTTTTTTTTTTTTTTTTTTTTTTTTTTTTTTTTTGCACACACACAACCATTTACAGCGTGGCCACACACCGTTTGAGAAGCTAGGAGGTAAAGTGCCTCACTTTGATTCTTACGAGTGCTACTTTACAAGGTGGAAGGCATTTTTCTAAACAGAAAAGGGAGTACGGAAAGGGTAGTTAATCTGCACAAAGTCATACAGCTATTAGACGAAAACTCTGTACTCAAACACAGGACAAAGTCCAAAGCCCAAAGTTTATCTCCCTAGTCAATCTCCAAAAATGAAAAATTAAATTCAATATTGGTCAATGTCAGAGCATCACTAGAACTAGAAATGGTGGCCCACACCACTGATCCCAATACTAAGGGATGCAGAGACAAGAGAAAAAACATAGATCCTAGGTCAGTCTAGTACAGAGCCAGTTCTGAACCAGCAAGAGGCCAATAACTACACACACACCTACACACACACACACACACACGTCTTTAGTTTTTGAGCCACCTAACTGGAGCTTTCCTAGCCTCAGAAGTCACATGACCATACAAAGACTTTGCTCTAGTTTTGTTGTCTGATCTACAGTCTCTCTGTGGCAGAACCTGCTCCAGTCATCCTCACCCCAAGACAGAGAGGTTTGTGGGTTCTTGATTAGAATTTTCATGAGCCCATTATGATGCCAGGCCTAGGCTGTTGCCATGGCACCCACAGGACCTGGGGCTGGGGCACCTGGCCTGCCCAGAAGCTCACTCTCACCTTGGCTCCCACCTGCACTTCCCACCTGCTGAGCCCCTCAGTCTTCATCTTTTAGGTACCCAGGTACCCTCCACGCCCATCTCCCTCTCTGTACCTCCACCCTTACCTGCAGGGTCTAGGTTCACTCGGCCTGGTGCTTCTTTCTCCACCCTTGCCACTCAGACCTGCTCCCTTCCGCACCTTTTCTTTCCCGTGTTGCACCGCGACTCCTCTCCCCATTCATCCCACTCCTTTACTCTTCCCACCCCACCGCCCACCTCCAACTCCGTGACCCTTCCTGCCACTCGCTCCCACATCCTTACCCTCCTTGCTTTCTTCCCACTAGTTGAGCCGAGCCAGCTGTGTCTAGAGATCACCGTGATGGAGCCTGGACAGGAGCAAGAAACTGTGGCCCCTCAGGAGCCTAATCTAAGCCCAAAACCTGATGCGAGGCCTATAATGATAAATAAAAATCTACAAAAAGGGGGAAAGAAGAAGAAAGATTTAGAAGAGCTGAAGAAGGAAGCAGCTATGGTGAGGAAAGCCAAAGCAAATCACCCTTGAAACACTTCTAGGCCTTCTGCCTGGTTGCCTTCCACATCCTGCCGGGAGAACAAAGCACACTGCCAGGACTCTCCCGTTCCCACTTCCTCCCTCCTCTCTGCACGTGACCTTGAGGTCACCATCTCACCGTGATGACTCTTCTGTCCCCTTAGGATGACCACAAGCTAACCTTGGATGAGTTGAGCGCCAAGTACTCTGTGGACTTGACCAAGGTGAGTGTGAACTGCCCAAGAGAGACAGAGGTTCTCATGGACTTGGGGCCACAAGGACAGTGCAGAGACTCCCCCTCCCCTCATCTTCAAACCCAACTTTGTATCTCTTACCCTCAAGCCCTGCAGAGTTCCATGAATCTCTAGCTGGAAAAGATGACCCCAGTAACTACCCCAGAGAGAGGCTACAGGTAGATGGGAGAGGCCTGCCTTTGTTTATCCTCGGGATCTGCTCAGTTTCTTAGGATTTATCAAGGACTCCACAGAGCTTTGGCTTAGGTAGAAATAACATAATCAATATTTGCCACAGTAAAATTAAAGCTGGCAAATTTTAAATGTATTTTCCAGTTCCTTTACAAATAGAGTATCGGCCAGGAATGTAGCACAGCGGTACACCCCTGAGTGGGACCCTGAGTCCAACCCCCAGAATTTCGAATGAAAGAGGAGGGAAAAAGGAAAGGTTTATTATAAACTAGTAGCAATAATGTTTTAACCAAACAACTACATTTTAAAAAATATTATATTTTACAAACTTCTTTTTTGTTTGTTTTCAAGACAGCAGCCTTGTACAACCTTGGCTGGCCTAGAGCTCGCTCTTGTAGACCAAATGGGCCTCAAACTCACAGAGATCCACCCGTCTCTGCCTCCCCAGTGCTGGAATTAAAGGTGTGCGCCTCCACCCTGTCCACCTATATTATTTTACATAATTTTTTGTAATTTATTACAACTTTATTTTATGTACATTGGTGTGAAGGTGTCAGATCCCCCTAGAACTAGAGTTACAGACAGTTGTGAGCTGCCATGTAGGGGCTGGAACTGAACCCAGGTCCTCTGGAAGAGCAGCCAGTGCTCTTAACCATTGAACCATCTCTCCAGGCTCCAAACTTCTTTAATGTCTAGTTTTCTAATAGAAAAATCTGAATCCTCCTCTTTTGGTATTAAATCTACTGGAACATGTCATGAAGACTGGAAATTTTGAAGTGTCATCTTTCTATTAGGGGACAGAATTCCTTAATCTGTGGTGGGTTGGATGAGACGGGCCCCATAGGCTCATATATTTGAGACCTTCGTCTCTAGTTGGTGGAACACTTGGGAAGGACTAGGAGGTGTGGCCTCATTGGAGGAGGTGTGTCACCAAGGCTTTGAAGTTTCAAATGTCCAGGCTCTCCCAGCTGTCTCTCTGCCTTCTGCCTGTGGATCAGGATGCGAGCTCTCAGCTACTGCCTGCCACCTGTCGTGCTCCCTACCGTGATGGTCATGACTCTAACCCTCTGGAACTGTGAGCCCCAACAAACTCTTGTATAAGCTGCATTGGTAATGGTGTCTCCTCACAGAAGTAGAAAAATAACGTAAGACGGAGACAAACAATGTAGAGAGTCATTCTGTCTCACAGCTCTGAGGGCTCAGGCCATGGTCTCTTGGTGCCACTATTTCATTATTTTTAGTTTAGTTTAGTTTAGTTTAGTTTTTCGAGATAGAGTTTCTCCGTGTAGCCCTAACTTTCCTAGAACTTGTTTTGTAGACCAGGCTGACCTTGAACTCACAGAGATCCACCTGCCTCTGCCTCTGAAGTGCTGGGATTTAAGGCATTTGCTATTACTGCCCAGAGGATCCACTATTTCTGAGTCTGAGGGGAGGAAGGAAATGCACGAATGAGCAAAGCTGCTTACCTCAGGGCAGACAGGACGGTGAAGGAAGAATCCTTTCAAGGATGCCTTCCTGTGACCTACTTCCCATGGCCTACTTCCTGTGACCAATTTCCTCCACCTAAATTGTCTCCTAATATTCCTGCCATAAGCTGGGAACCAGGTTGCTTGGGGAACATTTAAAAGTCAATCCTTAAGATCTATCATACACATTTGTTTTTTGTTTGTTTGTTTGTTTGTTTTGTATTGTATTGTTTTGTTTTTTGTTTTGTGAGACAAGGTTTCACTATGTAGATCAGGCTGTCCTGGAACTTGCTGGCCAACCATCCATTCTCAAGAATGAGTAAAAAAGACAACGTATTATTAAAAAGCTTTCGATCTTCCAGGACAGGCACCAATAACTACAGAGAAACCCTGTCTCGAAAACCATAATAAAATAAAATAAAAGCTTTAGACCTTATGGATCCCTAGAAAGTATTGGAGGCCCCTTGGGTCTTTTTGAGAAGAGGTTAAGGGAATGGATGATAGGGTTTAGATTCTATTTTCACATAATATAAAGGAAAAAGCACAGAAGTGTGTGCATAAGACTATAATAAAAAAAATCTATCCGAGTGTGGTGGTGGTGCACGCCTTTAATCCCAGCAATCAGAAGGCAGAGGCAAGCGGATCTCTGTGAGTTCAAGGCCAGCCTGATCTGCAAAGCCAGTTCTAGGACAGACCCAAAAGCTACTCAGAGAAACTCTGTCCCAAAAAGAACAAAAAGAAAAAAAAAATCTATGCATTTGTTTCTTTAGTTTGATTTTCTCTTATTTCCAAATTAGAAGGCCAAAGTGTAAATGCTAGTAACCGGCATTGTGGATCATAGCCCCAGGAGGCTGGGGCACCATAATCATTTCTATATGTTTGTTTTTGACTTGAGCTCCCTAGGGGTAATCTTTAGTTTCGTTGATTGATTGTGCCTATGTTCATGCGTGTGCGTGTAAAGCCACCACAGCATGCACACGGAGATGGGACAACATTGTGGGATTCAGTTCTCTCCGCCCTGTGAGTCCAAATGTTGGATTAGGTTGTCAGGCCTTGCTACATTCACCCTTACCCATTAAGCCATCTCACCCCAGACCCTTGGAGTGGAGACCGTTCCTACTCAAGATGGTATTCTCAGCTCCTATCATACTACCAAGCCCCAAGGTAAAGCATTCGAGTTCAAATGTTGGTAAGCCAATTCATAAACAAATGAACAAATCAAAAAAGCTCTATATAAGCATGCTAAATGACACCCCTTATACAACACGAAGTCTAAAATCCTACCTTATCAAGGAAGAACCTAGAAGGGCATTCAGAGGCCTGATTTGGGGGGTACGCCTATCCTTCATTGTAACTTTGCTTTCTCTCCGAACCCTATTTCTTCTCCACCCAGGGCCATAGCCTCAAAGACGCACAGGAGATTCTGTCTGCAAATGGACCGAATGCACTAAGCCCTCCCCCAACCACACCAGAGTGGGTCAAATTCTGTAAACAAATGTTTGGTGGCTTTTCCCTCCTGCTGTGGACTGGTGCCATTCTCTGCTTCCTGGCCTATGGCATACACGTTCATTACAGTGAAAAAACCAACAAAGATAATGTGAGTTTGCTAATCTACCATCTAGTCTAGTCTGTGGCTAAGTCCCTGAAACTCTCATGTTCAACAGCCTGGAACTCCCCAAGTCTTCTAGTCCAAATCTCCAATAGTTCAGAACTTTCTAGAGAAGTTCTTGATCCATCTTGGTCCCCAGCAACCTCTTATCTAGGAAGCGTCTGGTTCAGCTCCCTGAGAAGCATCATCCCAGCCAGCCAGAGTCACAGTGTCTGCAACCCTTTTTCTTACTCTCAGAACGTCTGCCTCGCCATCTCTCACCTTCCTTGGCTCATTATCCACCTCCCACCTTTATGGGGGAGGAAGCCACACATTCTCTTGCCATTTTTCTGACCACTCACCGAAATGGCTCAGGTTTCTATTACTAAGAAGCCTAGTGTGCCAGCACCATCCCTGATTCTTTTCAGCCCCCTCTGATTTCCTCCATCTGGAGGAAGTTGTTGCCTTGGCAGCCCCTGAGGATGAAGAGGGAGGAGAGGATGTGCTAATCACACTTTCTTCCCCTGTCTTCAGCTGTACCTGGGTATCGTACTCGCTGCTGTGGTCCTCATCACTGGCTGCTTCTCATATTATCAGGAGGCCAAGAGCTCCAAGATCATGGAATCTTTTAAGAACATGGTGCCTCAGGTGGGTAGGACTTGTGTGGGAGGACCTAGTGGGAGGAAGTGCAGATTGTGACCAATTGTATAATCACTCAGTCCCCTGGAGTCTGTAACCCACTGTGGGTGTGCTGAGTGAGGCTAGTAATGAATGGGCCTAGAAACTACCAGGAAAACAATGTGAAACTCAGGTGATACCACCAAACAATTGTCTAGTCTAAAGTGATAATCCAATGAAAAAAGACCCTCTTCAACTCAAACAAGAGCAGTCTACCAGCCGGGCGGTGGAGGCACACACCTTTAATCCCAGCACTAGGGAGACAGAGGCAGGATGATCTCTGTGTGTTCGAGGCCGGCCTGGTCTACAGAGTGAGTTCCAGGACAGGTTCCAAAGCTACAGAGAAACCCTGTCTTGAGAAACAAACAAACAAACAAGAACATTCTAAAAAAAAAAAAAATTCTACTAAAAACAAAAGATAGAGGCCAGTGGCTAGGCTGACATTAAAGTCAACAAACCTGGGGAAACGTTCCAGTTTAAAAGAAGCTGAAAGATATGGGAGTGTGAACATCCTGGTAAAGATAAAGGTCTTGGGCCTGGGCCTATAGATGCTGTGCCCGGGAGTCAAGGCCTGAAAAGGAATTTAGGGTCAAGTGGCAAAAGCTGGAATGTAGAATAGATGTGAGCACTACATCAGAATGGAACCTGCAGAAGCTACCACTGCCCTGTGGTAGAAGAGGGCACTACAGGGCCAAGAGATGGCTCAGCAGCCCAGAGCACTTGTCCATCTTTGTTCAAATTGCTTGCACTAGCTAATTTTACGTCAACCTGACACACAAACTAGAGTCATTTGGGAAGAGGGAACTCCCCACCAGAAGGAAGAGGAAATATCCCCACCAGATTGTGGGCAAGCTTGTGGTACATTTCCTTGACTGATGTGGGAGGCCCCAGCTCGCTCTGGACAGTGCCACCCCTGGGCTGACTGTCTTGAGTGTTTAGCAAGCCATGGGGAGCAAGCTATAAGCAGCACCCCTCCGTGGCCTGTGCCTCAGTTCCTGCCTCCAGGTTCTTGCCTTGAGTTACTGAGTTCCCTGGACAAATGGGCTGTGCTGTGCAAAGTGTAAGTGGCATACATCCTTTCCTCCCCCCACCGTTCCTTTTGATAGGGTGCTGATCACAACAATAGAACCCTAAGACCCTGCTCTTGCAGAGGACCTGGGTTCCATGCCCATACCCTAAAGGCGGCTTACAACACCTGTAACTCCAGTTCCATAGGACTTTCACCTTCCTTCTCTTCTGGCCTCACAGACACCAGGCATGAACATGGTACATATGCATACAAGTGCATTTTTAAAAAAAAAAAAAATTTTAAAGAGAGAAGATAACATAATTCTTGTAAAATAAACACAGAAGTGTTTGGCATAAATTGTCATGATGCATGTAACTTAGAGACAGAAAAGGACAAAGCAAATGAGATTAAAAGTTAGTAGGCGGTGATGGTGAAAGTTTTACAGGTGTGCTTGTCACTATTTTCATTACAGAAACTTTTCTGAAATTTAAAAATTATTTTGAAGTTAAATTTTTGTAAGGTATCTAGAAATAGTATGCCAGCAGATTGGATTCCTAAATACAGGTCTAGACGCTTAGAAAGTCTCCGGAATCATGCAACAGTATTATCATGTTCTAGCCTTGTTGCTTAAGGATTTCTTCTCCTGTCATAATTTAAACTTTTCCTCCAGTAAGAGTTTTGACTGGGAACTTGGAGTTTATCAGGTAGCACCTGTGGCCTAATACACTGCCCCAAACAGGGCTTTTGTCCGTGTGTCTGGGCTGCTGCTGTGGTCTGTGACTTTAGCTTGTGCTGGGTAGAAATATAAAATAACTTTATTGACTCCTCTGGAGCCTCAGTTGAAATAACTGGGTTGGTTGGGGCTCTGTCTTGTTCATGGGAGCAGAGGGGTTCCTGGGAATAGCAGGGAAAACCTTAGCATAAAAGAATTTCTAAGCCTTTGTTTGTACCACACTTGCTAATATCTCACAGGGTCAGGGGAGTGACTACATGGCCAAGTCTCCATTTAGGAGCTAAGAGATAGATCCCACCTCTTAATGGCAAGGCCACCAAAGTCACCTAGCAAAGGCTCTGCAGACAGCGATGGCAGAAGTACTCAATCTGCTGAAACTCTTTCAAGACTATTATGGTGCAAAGCACAGGAGAAAGGAGTTTGAGATGGAAACTTCTAGGGTTGGAGCAGGATGGGCAAGGCAGGAAGCTGCATAACAATCCTGCGTTATCTTTCTCCAGCAAGCTCTGGTCATTCGAGGTGGAGAGAAGATACAAATCAATGTAAAAGATGTGGTTCTGGGAGACCTAGTAGAAGTGAAGGGTGGAGACCAAATCCCCGCTGATATCAGGGTTATCTCTGCACAAGGATGTAAGGTGAGGAGATCTGGAAAGCTAGAGGAGGGACTCTAAGGCAATGTGTGGTTCAAAGGTATGATAAGGACCTGGGCTTAGGTACAGAAAATACGATCCTACTATTCAGAACCTTGTGATGAGGATGGTTTAGAAGTAAGACAAAGCCGGGTGGTGGTGGCGCACACTTTTAATCCCAGCCCTCGGGAGGCAGAGGCAGGCGGATCTCTGTGAGTTCGAGGCCATCCTGGTCTACAAGAGCTAGTTCCAGGACAGGAACCAAAACTTCAGAGAAACCCTGTCTCTAAAAAACAAAAACAAAAACAAACAAACAAACGAGACAATAAGGAGCTGGAAGGACATTTGCTTATCTCTGTATGTTAATGTCATGATGGTTAGGACAGGTAAGGTGATGTTGTCTTCATAAATGAATCTCTCCTGTGCTTGCCTTTTAACCGATCCTCCTTGCCACCCCAGGTAGACAACTCCTCCCTGACTGGGGAGTCCGAACCCCAGTCTCGCTGCCCTGAATGCACCCATGAGAACCCTTTGGAGACTCGGAACATCATCTTCTTCTCCACCAACTGTGTAGAAGGTGAATAGTACACCATACGCAGCAGACTCAAAAGTAGAGGTGGAAACACAAGGCTTTTCAACCTTATGTTTCTAAAGATTTTGGAGTAGGAAGACCCTTACCAACTTGGTTTCTCCATCGCGCTGAAGCTTGATGACTTTTGGTAAAAGGTCAACACCATCATTTCCAAATTTGTGTACTAAATATTGCTGCCCATAGATTATTTATGGACTAAGTGACATAAATACAAAATGCCTAGCACCAGGTCTAATACACTGTAGGTGCCCTGTAGCTGTGGACAATTGTTTTAGCTGGTGGAGAGACTGATTTTTGTGTTGAAAATGGCACAGAATGGAGGAAAGTTATCCATTCCTGCTGGGTCATTCTCCTAACTTCATTTTACCTTGCAGAGGAAAATAGCAACCCTGCAAGTTTGAGTTACCAGGGGTGTCCCTCAGACCTTACCATTCAAATGTTGGCTTTGTCACTTGAGGAAGGAAGGCACCCCTGAGCCAGAAGTTGGTTCTGATCAAAGTGGTGACAAAAGGTTTGGCATCATTATGTCCCTCTCTCCTTTGCCCTTAAAGAAACCTAAATAGACCCTGGAATCCACTTGCAAACCATTACTAGTGCTTAAGAATAAATGCTTTGTTGTCTAGAGATAATTGCTTTTTGCTGAATGCATAAACGCATGTAGTTAGTGTCAACTACTATAACATTTTCTCTTGATTCTCACAGTATCACACACAAAGTCTAAAGTTTAAAGAAATTACATGCGCACCATACTTAAGAGTATGACTCAGCAGAAAAGAGGAAGATTAGCCGATTTGAATGCAGGTCTGTCTCCCAAAGGCCAAGCTCTTTCCTTTCCTGCTCCACTTCGCTCAGCACTGAGATTGCTAATAACCTCTCCTCATCAAACCGGTTCACTTGGAAATACCTTACTAGTAACTCTAGTGTTCAATGGACATTAAGGAAGAATCCAACCAGAAAAAATAGTATCACATGATTTGTACACAATATATAATTAGGTGAATGAATAAAAAGTGTAAATTAACAAGATTTCTCTAAAATTACTGGATTTCTGCTGCTCCATTTTAGGAGAGAAAATTGCTGAGATTTATGTTTCTGAAGTAGGTTTTTTTCATTCACTAAGCATATGCCACTGATAGTTAGGGAAGAGTGGGTGAGGACACTCCAGTCGAGAAACAAGGGTCTATCTGGGTAAAAGGGAGTTTATTTCATAGACAAAAAGAACCCAAAATGTAGCCAAGAGGGTGGAACTAGCTAGATTAAGCTAAGAAATTTTGTTTTTTGAATCATTTCAGGCTTCACAATGCCTGACTATTCTGGAACTCGCTCTGTAGACCAGATTGGCCTTGAACTCACAGAGATCCACCTGCGTCAGCCTCCTGAGAGCTGAAGTTAAAAGAAGTGTGCGTGCCCATATCAGCCAAACTAAGGAATTTTTGTGCAACTTGCTCAGTAATTTTCCTTAGACTAGCTCCCCTTTTAACCTTTGCTCTAGACTAATTTACAAATTAGTTATGTAAATACCACTCTAGCCTTGTCTCCAGCTGTCATTGCTTGACCTTGATGGGCAGTGGCACAAATGCCTCTGTGTTCCCAAGTGTCTAGGAAGCCTGCGCTCTTTCTCTGATGACATATGGAAGGCATGTGAGGGAAGAGTCTGGCCGAGGATACAGGATACCTGTCCTTGTCGGTTGTCTTCTAGTTGGATGCTAACCTACTCTGTCTCTAGACACATAGAGACTATGTATTATATTTCATCTTTTCAAGCTAAATCATCCTACAAAATAGATTAAGATGATGTCATAGCCAACCACACCTACCCTATCAACAATATGAAATCCTTTCGGTATCTTTCAGTCATTTTAGTATTTTCATAAAGGTTCAGAATACTTCTGTCAGCCAGTTCAAAGATTGTCTATGGGGTGCTTTATACTGTGACCCTTTACAGGATCTCTTTCCTCATAATACTGGCCTGCCCCAGCTGAGAACTCTCCTCCTGGACTCTAGATAGATAGATAGATAGATAGATAGATAGATAGATAGATAGATAGATAGATAGATCCATAGATATATATCCGTATAGATAGATGAGAGAGAGAGAGAGAGAGAGAGACAGAGACAGAGACAGAGATTTTATGTACATGTTCCAGTGTATTCAGGAGCCCAAGGAGGTCAGAGGAAGTGATCCCCTGGAACTGCAGTTATATATAGATTGCTGTGAGACATCATATAGGTCTAGGCACCAAGGCCAGGTTCTCTGCAAGAGCAGGAAATCCTCTTCAGCACTGAGCCATCTCTCTGGCCCCTTACTCCTGGACTGTTTCTGAAGGTGGTTCTAGAAATGAAGACCCCAAGCTGCTCCCTGCCCCTGTGGATGAGGGAGCTGCTCCTACTGAGCCACACGTATCATTTTATATTGGTCCTTCAGGAAATTGTTTAGTCAACTGAAGGTGAGAACAAAGTTGAAGCCTAGCCTACCACATAGCCAACCTTGTTCTGGACTCTTTTGGACATTAATTATATTATATACTCAATTAATTACATTTAATTGCACAATTTTTAGGTACTTTGTTTCCTCCTGTCTTCTTCCTCCTATTCTTCCTCCTTCTTCCTCTTCCTTCTCTCCTCCTTTCCCTTCCTCCTCCTCTTGCTTCTTTAGACAAAGTCTCACCCTGTAGCCCACACTGGCCTTGAACTCTGGGCAATCCTCTACCCCAGCCTTTCAAATGCCAGATTTCTAGGTATAACCTACATCATCTGGGATGTGCGTCATCCCACTTTAAGTATAAGGAAGCCTGAGTTTCCTAGAACATAGTCCTTTGTCTCAGGAAAAAGAGATAGTTGTTTATGAAGTTGACCTTTCTGCCTTTTTCTATGAGTTTCTTTTCTTGATAATTCTATGACTTGAGTGGTGGGAGTTACAGGCACTGTGGCAAAGCAGGAAGGGTGGTTTTAAATAACCTTGTTTCAAGCTTGTAAGTGAATGTCCTGTACCACACGTGGGTAAAGTCAACCACGAGGTCCAAGTTGCCCTTCTAGGTAGAAAGCAGATCTGGGGGGAGGGGGGAAGAAAGGGCCCTGGAAAAGTCCAGGGCACAGCTGTGATGGCCTGTGCTACCCAGCAGAGGTCAGACTAGCTCTAGCCAGAAAAGCAGGGAGGGGGCTCATCAGGCGGAGTTCTCAACTACCAATACTGAGGACTAGAGAGCTCTTTGCTGTGAGTGGAGAGGGGGGCTGAACTGTGCCCTGTAGGATGCTTAGCAGGCCGTGGCTTCCCCCCTTGCTACTTCTGTCTGCATAGAATCCTGTGTCCTACTGGAGGGATTCCCTATCAGTTCCCCAAAACTCAGTCCAATTTTGACAGTAACTGCCTCAAAATAGCATCAGATGAGGGCTCAATCCCATGAAACTCTTCTTGCTTCAGACTCTAATCCAAAGTAATAGGTTGTCATCCATACTTCTGACAGATTGACTATGCACTGGGATTCCCATGACTTCTTCCCTAAGGCTCACAGACCTCAGGGAAGCACTCGGCCTACATTTCCCATCTCTTACATTTTGATAGGATGCAAGTGAACACCCAGAAGGGAGGCATGCGTAGGGAATGGTATGTGGGCTTCTGTATGTTCTCTGGGTGGCACTTTTGGGTCCTCTCTGAGAATGCCATCCTCCAGACACCTCCATGTGTTGCCAGTCTGGAAGCTCTTCAAACCCAGTTGTCTTGGCTTTTTAATGGGTGTTTTATTATATAGGCATGACTGGTTATAACATTTGCCACTGGTAATCAACTCAACCTTCAGCCTCACTCTTCTCAGAAGTTGAACTGTAGAGCTGAAAGCCCACCATGTAACTAACTACATGGTTGACTCCCAGGCAACTCCCTCTTCCTGTGGCTTGCCAAGAACCCACCAAGAGCTGCCTCATTAAAACACAAGTTTCTCTTACCACCTAGGGAACTCTATGGCATTTAGAAGCTCTATACCAGATAATTTCTATCACTCCAGAAACTATGAAGTGTTAGGGACCAATTATGATAACAAAAGATTCTCCTAGCCTTCCAATCTAAGGATTTTAGAAGTTCTACGTCAATAACTGGGAGAAGATACCAATGCAGGCATTTTGTAAGTTTCCCATGGTATGGTATCACAGCTTCTCCCTTCATCCACAGGAACAGCCCGGGGTATTGTGATCGCTACAGGAGACTCCACAGTCATGGGCCGAATTGCTTCCCTGACATCTGGCTTGGCCGTAGGCCAGACCCCCATTGCTGCTGAAATCGAACACTTCATCCATCTGATCACAGCTGTCGCCATCTTCCTTGGCATAGTGTTTTTTTCACTCTCGCTTATCTTGGGCTACGGCTGGCTGGAGGCTGTCATCTTCTTGATTGGCATCATTGTGGCCAATGTGCCCGAAGGGTTGCTGGCCACTGTCACTGTGAGTCAACAAGGTTGGGGGGTGGCCTCTGGGCAGACAAGTAACCCCAGGGGAATGAAATCATTCGCATGGATTTGGCTGTTGTTGAACATCTTAGGTGTGGGCAGTTAGCTCCCAACATTACACTGACTTGCTCTACCCACACCTCTTTCTCCTCAGTGAAAGAGGAAGCAAGGCGCAAGAGAGAAAAAGTGCATTCTGTTCTCGAGCTGTTAAACTCAGCCAAAACACTTCAGATCTCTGGGCCTCGAGTATTCAATACTTGAAAAATATTCAAAGTGTTTAGAGAAAGATTAATTTGAAATTGCAGACTCCTAGTGGAAAGGACTTCAAGGCCATTTAAAGTGAACCTTTGAGGCAACACTGAATGTCCTCTATAAAGATCCGTGGAGGGTAATTGTGTGGTTTTCTCTGGGAATGGAGAACATAGCTCCTCTTTGTCTCTGCCTAGTTTGCTCTTGGATCACTTGGTTAAATTTCACTGTGTTGAGCAGGAATATGATTCCCTATTTCATCCTGGTTTTCCCAACCAGAATAAGTTGATTCTCCATCTCCTACGTTCCAGTCCCCACCCCCTTGGATGTAGTCATCATGCCCTCTCAGATTCTCTAGGTAATCTTTTCCTTAACCATTCTTCCTGTGAGAAGGGATTAGCTCTCCGTCATACTAACAGCTTGTTTGGGGTATGCGCTAGCTTCTCAATATTCTTCTTAAAATAGAAATAAGAATAACATTTAGGGTGAGTAAAACATTGGGACTAGTGATTGATTGCAATTCCATAATTGGAATTCTATACTTACACATCCACAACACAATAATTTGCTAGTTTTTAAAAGAACCTTGCGTTCGATTTATGATTAACAGACACTCTCTGATTTAAGTGATTTCTCAAGGACTTTTCAGTGCTGTGACATTGCTTCCCAATGTCATCTTTCCCTCCTGCCAAACTTTTCTGAAACTACTGGCAACATGCCCAGGTCCATACACAGCGCTGTATGCCATAATAAAGCATTACCTCTCTGTGTGGTCCTTGGAGAGACTGGATCTGAGAGAGAGGAAGCAGCCCAGGATGGAGAAGAAGATACTAGATAGCGGTCTAAACGCCTTCTGGGGAAGGGCTTTGTGTATGTGACAGCCACGCTGGTGAAGAAAGGCCCTGAAACTCTTGCCAGAAAGTACACATCGAAATCGCTCCCTCCGTGTTGTTTAAGATGATCACAGGTGGGGTTTCTAAAGACTGGGCAAGGATAAAAGAGAAATAAAAAAAAACGACCGAATTCCCAAAGCAAAATGACGTGAATAGTCCCCCCCACCACCATCCATTCTTGCCTCTTTTGGTGCTTTTAGGTGTGCCTGACCCTGACCGCCAAGCGCATGGCCCGCAAGAACTGTCTGGTGAAGAACCTGGAGGCAGTGGAGACGCTGGGTTCCACTTCCACCATCTGCTCGGACAAGACCGGCACCCTCACCCAGAACCGTATGACCGTGGCCCACTTGTGGTTTGATAAGACTGTGTATGAGGCTGACACCAGTGAGGAACAAACTACCGGTGACTAGCAGCCTGCGTAGCCTAGAGAAGGAGGATTTGGGCTGGCATCCTTAGGAGAATGGCAAACAGGAGACAGCTGGAATCTGGTGATGGGAGGAGGTGGTACTTGGTTGTTAAAGAGAATATGAATAACCTTGAGTTTCCGTGTTTGTTGAGCCTTCAACTCAATAAGTAGCTGGAGACGACCTTGAACCTCCTAATCCCCTACCTCTCCCCGCAAGTGTATTAAATTCTGTTTGTTAACACTTCCTTCCTACCTAGGGAAAACATTTCCCAAGTCCTCGGATACCTGGTTTCACCTGGCTCGAATTGCTGGCCTCTGTAACCGGGCTGACTTTAGGCCTCATCAGGAATCTGTTCCCATAGCTAAGGTATCAAATGAAAAGAGGGTACCTCGGTGACGAGTATCTTTCTGCCCCTCTTACCAAAAAGTCTGCTTCTCTGCCCGCCCTCGGTGATTTTCTACACCACCTTCCCTCCCCATTCCGTGCCTCTCCTTGAGACCACAGGCAAATCCTATGCCCAGATGGTGTACCCCTGGGGCTCATCCAAATCTTTCCTTGCAGCGGGTAACAACAGGGGATGCTTCTGAGTCAGCGCTCCTCAAATTCATTGAACAGTCCTACAGCCCTGTGAATGAAATGAGACAGAAAAACCCCAAGGTGGCAGAGATCCCCTTTAATTCTACCAACAAGTACCAGGTACAGAACCCAGAAAAGTAGGAGAATGGCGGGCGGGGTGTGGGGGACAGAATGGACTCGCAGTGGGGAAGCTATGCCTTGGCTTCCGGCTGTACTTCTGAGCAGGGCAATAGCTCTGGAGAACCAGCAGGCCAACTAGGAGGAATGCTCACCTCCAGGAAAGTGGCAGTGAAGAGAGGAGAACTAGGTGATAGAGGAATCGTTTCTAGCGGAATTTTCACCCCTGCCATCCGCAACAAAAGCATATCTTAAAAAGCTCACTAAGGCTGGGCCGTGGCGCATGCCTTTAATTCCAGCACTCAGGAGGAATCTCTGTGAGTTCGAGGTCAGCTTGGTCTACAGAGCAAGTTCCAAGTTTGCTGAGTCGGAAGCAGTCAAGGTTGGCTGGTGGGAGCCACAAACAACTATTAGCCTATGCCAGTGTCTGCTATGTAGACAAAAGTCTACAAGCCATTTTGTTTCCTTAACCATCAAATAGCCCTTTTCCCTCCATAAAGTTCTGGTGCAGCCATCAGTGAGGCAGTCAGGGGTCACCAATACAATGTGTCATATTTTTTATTTTCTAAAGGCATTGATTTATTATCCAGGGAGGAAACAGGTAGGAAAGGGAAAGGCTGAGTAATGGCCAGTGGCAAAAACAATGAAATCCCGAGAGGCTATGCATGGTGGTTCGTGCCTATACGCTCAGCATGGAGGAGGGGGCTGAGGCAGGAGTGTTACCCTGAGTGCAAGGGAAGCTGTCTAAAAAAGAAGAAGAAAGGAGGAGGAGGAGAAGAAGGAAGAAGAAAAGTCAAAATAACCCATGGTGGTAACATGGAAGACAGGATTTCAGTAGAAAGTAGGGGACAGTGAGCAGCCTCTCCAGGGCTGGAGGCAGACCAGGCCAGTTCATTCACGCATTTCAATTCCTTGTATTTCCATGAAGACCAGACATTTGAGTGTATGGAATAAGACTCTTAAGTCAGTTTTGCCTTTATGTCCTCAGACATAACAACATAATCACAGTCCATATAGATTTCTTAATACTCGATTACTATGAATTTCTGATGGAACCCTAAGAGATAAGTAGATCCGTACCTTCTGTCTAAACTTGTCTCAGTCGCTTTAATAAAACAGATCTCCCAGATCTGCAAATAAACTACAAACCTTAGTCCCACTTTTTTTTTTCCCTGACACTTGGTGGCCTTGCTAGCCAGACAGGAATTTTGTGGCTTGGCAGAGTGCGAGTAAAGCCTTTGAATGAATTAGGTGCCTCTCCCTCTATGTGGTTAAAAATAAAAGTCGGACATATTAATGACATTGTTGGGATGTCCAACAAGCAACCATGTTCCCCAAAATTACTGTATGAGTGTTTCTGAGCTACTGAATAGCATTCAAGTGGCAGAACTGGTCTCTGTGGTACATACACGTGTGTGACAGGCCAATCCGCTGGATTCAGCTCCAGCAGACACTAGCTCTGGCAGACTTAGTGAACTGCTATAATTAGCTTGCTCCAAGGGCAAAGACTCCAGGCTTTGAAAGGCATGTGTCTTCCTTAGCCTGTCTGTCGTCTGCAGAGCGTGGTCTCCTACCATCTCTGAAATGGAAATCAAATAGACTCTAGTCTGAGCATTTCTCATTTCTCTCTCCATCTTCTTTAGTAAGATTATGAAACATATATATTTTTGGTCAGATACGATGGTATATGCCTTTAATCCCAGCACTCAAGAGGCAGGAGCATGAGGATCCTGTAAATTCCAGCCTGGTTGGGTCTACATAAATTCCATGCCAGCCAGGGCTACATAGTGAGATCCTGCCAAACAAACAACATATTTCTTTTTTGTTGCTTTTTTTTTCTTTTTCTTTTTGAGGCTATGTCTCTCTACATAGTGTGACACTCGTTATATAGACCAGGCTGGCCTTGAAGTCACAGAGATCCACCTATCTCTGACTCCCGAGTGCTGGGATTAAAAGTATATGCCACCACATCCAGCCAAAACACTTATTTCCTTTTGGTGTGTGTGTGTGTGTGTGTGTGTGTGTGTGTGTGTGTGTGTGTGTGTGTGCAATGGATTCTGTGTGGCCAGAAGACGATCTGTGGGAACTGGTCCATCCCTTCCACTGTCAGTCCAGGAATCAAATTCAGGTCTTCAGGTTTGACCGCAAGCATCTTTATTTGTGGAGCCATCTTGTAAGCCCCTATCTATAATCTTCTATCCAGTTTTATTCCCCGTGACCAGGTTAGTGGGTCAGAAGATCTTGTGCTCACCTGAGCCTTTTATTCATTCAGCAAAGATTCATTGAGCACCGAGATGATTGAGCTTTGTCAATCTTACAGCTTCCTCCTTTAAACAAGATTGTCCCTTTTAACCACTTAAGCGTATCTTGAACGCACTAATCATTCTCTAGCCAATCAATCGTAGTCACATTTTACGCACCAGTGGCTCACCCCACTCGACATCCGGGAAGTGCTGTCTGGCCTCCTTGGTGTTCCCACAGTTCCTCTCAATTTGCTGATGCAGTCTCCGACAGGGGCCATAGCAGGCAGTTCCTATAAGTTAAAAGAGGAACTCTACGGGGGTGCCTGGAGCGAACCGCTAAACACAAGCCACCAGACTGCTCCCTCTGGTGTGTGGTCTCTGCAGATTTGTGTCATGAATGTGTACCTTCCCCTCCACCATCAGGCATCCAGCCAGTAGGCAGTCTTCTTTGGGGGCATCTCCAGCCTACAGCAGAATGGCTATGGATAATTTATTTTGTTTGTGTTTCAGTCTCAAAGTTTTGGGTTGTTTGTTTGCTTGCTTGCTTTTGTTTTACAACTCTCTCCTTAAAAAACAGACAGACAAACAATAAAGGGGACTGGAGAGATGGCTCAGTGGTTAAGAACAATGACTGCTCTTCCAGAGAACCCAGGTTCAATTCCCAACACCCACATGAGAGCTCACTACTGTCTGTAATCCAGCTCCAAGTGATTTGACACCCTCTCTCTCTCCTACACACACACACACACACACACACACACACACACACACACACGCAGGCAAAACACCAATGCACATAAAATAAAAATGGCATTTAAAAGAAGAAACCCAATAAAGTAGGCAAGTTGCTTTCACTATCTATGAAAGGAATTAAGGTTTCTCAGGCTTGACTGAACTTAGCTGAGCTCATAAAGTAGATAAGACACGATTCTGGCTTGAGAACACGCTGGTCTTCGAACTCACTTGAGCCCTTCAATCAGCAAGGAATCAGGAAGAAAGGAGAGTACCTGCTATGCCTTCGGAGAATTCCTGCGCAGATACTAGGTTCCAGTGCAGTCGATGGGACTGGGCTCTGCTTAAGTCTGATTTGGCCTGATTGAGGATGGGAGGTGGATATGAAGTAGGCTGTCAGAGTCTTACTTAATCAAAAAAACTTCCCTCCGGATTTTTGCCCCATGCTCCCCCTCCCCCTCTACCTCCTTCCCTCCCCGCCCGGCTCTTTCACTACATCCCCCCTCCCTAGATGTCCATCCACCTTCTGGAAGATGACTCCCAAGCCCACGTGCTGCTGATGAAGGGTGCTCCCGAGAGGATCTTGGATTTTTGCACCAGTTTCATGCTGAATGGCCAGGAGTACCCCATGGACGAAGAAATGAAGACAGACTTCCAAAATGCCTACTTAGAACTGGGAGGTCTGGGAGAGCGCGTGCTGGGTGAGGAGCTATGGGGGGGGGGGGGGGGGGGGGGGGGGGGGGGGGGGGGGGGGGGGGGGGGGGGGGGGGGGGGGGGGGGGGGGGGGAGGGGGGGGGGGGGGGGGGGGTCGGCTTTGAAAAAAAAGCCATCAAAGTAACCATTTGTGGGTGTGTGGCAGGAGACAGCGTGGGAATGACTGCTGGGCCCTTCTTCTCTCTCTCCAGGGTTCTGCTTCTTGAACTTGCCTAGCAACTTCTCTAAGGGATTCCAGTTCAATACAGATGAAATAAATTTTCCCATGGAAAATCTGTGTTTCGCGGGCCTCATATCCATGATTGACCCGCCTCGAACTGCTGTGCCTGACGCTGTGGGCAAGTGCCGAAGCGCAGGGATTAAGGTAAATTCCTGCCCTCCCCAAGAGCCCCTCACCCATCACAACTTGGAGCAGATAGTAGAAAGCTTGGTCCAGAGTAGGTGCCAACTAACCTTGGTTCGACTGATTTCGGCCTCCTTGAGTCTATGGCGTCTACTCTTAGGAGATGCCTAATAGGATGCTTCCCCCAGAAGCCTGTCTCTCACGGATAGTTCGAATCACCAAGGAAGCGTAAAAACTCCAAGCTGAACCCCAAACCCCCCAGGATGGCTCTCAGGCATCAGTACTTAAAAGTTTATGGAAATTCTATTGAGCACACCGTTTGAAACCACTGTCAAGCAGTGCTTCTTAGCCCAGTTTGGGAATTCTCTCTCTTTCTCTCTCCCTCTCCCTCTCTCCTCACCCCACCCCCATCTCCTCCTATCTTGATTCAGTAGATCTAGGCCCTTGGAGGTTGCACATTTTGAACAAGCTCCTACCGCTGCCCTACAGAGGAGCTAGGGAGCTGGTGTAACACTGTGAGGGTAAGGTGCCTGGCGACTGGAGCAGGGCATAGTGAGGATGAGCCATAGAGCGAGCTGGGGACCTGGCATGCAGTGAACAGCTGCAAACCCCTGACCCTTAAAGAAAACTGAAACTAAAAGTGGAGCTCCACTACCGCAAACCCGGAAGTGAAGTCTCTGATGAGGTGGATCTTGGCTGTCATAGGAGGCAGCAATGGAATTTCCCCATTTCTGAGACTCTGTCTATTCATGTTTCTAGGTGTCAAAGGCTCATATCATTGTCTTTAAAATGTTGACTGAATGACTGTGTATGTGTGTGTGTGTGTGTGTGTGTATGTGTGTGTGTGCATAGGTAAGTGAGGGAACACACATGTCATGATGCACATGGGTATTTCAAAGAAAAATCTTTAGAAGTCAATTCTTTCTTCCCATCTTGGGTGCTTCAGGATTTGAACTCAGGTTGTCAGGCTCGTACAGCAAGTGCTTGTATCTGCCAAGTCATTGCACTGGCCCAAGATTCACATCTTGCTGCTCAGACCTTATATTCTGAATCAGCTGCATCCTCTAGACGTGGAAAGAACTGGCTAGAGCAGAGGCCTTGGAGGCACTTCGGGGGAGTAGGTCTCTCAGCTGCGACTGTTGGCAATTTGTCTAAGAGTCGTCCTGAGCAATGCTTAGTTAAATAGTGGTTGTCTGCAGTGGAACTAAAGAAATGATGGGGAAAATTAGGTTGCATCAATTTTTTAATCACCACCTTACAAAACCGCCGAGGCAGTAAATTCTTTGAGGAGATGGCCTTATTACAGAACATCCCCATACAATAATCAGTGTTGATGTTTCCCCAAAGTGCTGTAAGATACCCTCCCATATTGCGGAAGAAAGCATTCATCTGAGTTTTCTGAGCTTCGAGGTAGACTATTAGAATAAGGAATAACATTATGACTATAGCCAGCAATTTATCTCACATGGAGATTTGTGGGTCTCTTTGGTAAGAAGAGAGCCACAAGTGTGCCAACAGGTGAGGAGGCCCAAATAGAGAGCAAAGAAGTAATGCACATCAGGATGCCCAGCAGATCAGGATGTCACCACAGCCTGAGGCGCAGCCAGCTCATTATATTTCGTGAGGACTCGTAGGGATGACCGTGAGCTAGGAGGCTCAATGCTGTCTGAACAGCTCCTGTTTCTAGGTCTCACTACAGTTGTGTACCTCCATCTGCACTCTAGCCCGATGGGAAGTTAGCAGGCTCAGTGAGGAGTTGTGAATCATTCCCTCTCCCGGTAGGGAAGTATAAGACAGAAGGATGGCAACATCTCTCAAAATGTACCAAATGTAATAGACACGTAGGAGTTTGTTCTGAAGCAAACCCTTCCTGAGCCACCATCCCCCCACCAAGTGGTGGTGACACAGGACTGATAACTGTCACACACTACTGAATAAAAGAAACCATATCATCGGCGCATGACCCCCAAAGCCCTTTACAGGGAAATGATTGGAGGACTAAGCAGGCAGCTGTATGCCCATGACTTTGAAGTAAGTGTGATTTTAAAAAATTAAAAAATAATTCCATTATATTAATCATTACTACTTCCGTAGAATGGAGATACTTGGCACATTATAACCCTGGTTCCCTCTACAAAAAAAAGTCAGGCTCTGAGAGCTGCCTAAGGAATCTGAAGGCTTTCTTCAGATGATCTAGTCTGGGGGAAGATGGTAGAAGGGAGCATAGGGTAGCTGGCACAATGGTGTAGCAACATCAGAGGTATAGGCAGCATCAACATGTTGGGAATTAAATTCTTCCGGAACCTGATGAATTCCAAAGCAGTTGGATCCCCTTCTCTTCAAAGGGAGCTATTTTTTTAAAGAACTACACTCCAATTGTATGAGTGTATCTCATATATGAGTGTATGGGGGCTTAGTAAAATTGTGTCCAAGCAACTCACTCTTGAAGGAGCATTGTATTTTTATTTCTCTGACTTGGCAGGGAGGTAGTATGGCTGAAGCCACTAGATAACAGTCTATAGAATGGTCCAACATGGTGAGACACTAGGAATGTCTGAGGGGGACAGCATGCCTTGGGAAGCAGGTCCTAGGCCACTATTAATGAGCCACTGGAAGACTTACATTACAGGGTAACCCAGAATCACATGGCGAAGGGCTCGGCCACATGTAGACAGTCCTTTTGTAGGTCCGTCTTAGATCCTCGTCCTCATGCAGCCCACAGGCCAAGCTCCTGATGATCCACTGTCGCACAACGAGGCTGAACAATCAACATCAGGGCTTGGTACACCAGCTCAGTGCGGTCTCCCCAAGTCCTTGGTAATTACAGCCTAGCTAGCTCTGCTGTCTTCTTCCATCAAGTCAGGGGTGGTGCTAGCCTTTCAGAGTGATGGGGGTTTGGGAAACCCTATAGTTGGTTCTTCAAGGAAAACCACTGCCGTGCTTATTCCCATGCCTTGAAAGCATATTGACCTTTGTTCCTGGGAGCAGTGATTTCTTTGTTTTTGCTTTGTCAGTGTTTTGCTTCTTCCTCCCAATCAGAGCTTGGAAAATTATATGGAGGCCTAGAGGGCAGCTGGGGTCCTTGAGGAGGAGCTCCCGGGGAGCCACCATCCATCCCTTCAATTCTCATCCTAGAATTTCTGTGTTGATGGCTTGTTGAGTGCAGGCCATCTTAGAGGCACAAAGTGCCTGCCCATGTCACCCTCACAAAGCTCTCAGGCCAGTGGGAAAGAGAGCACACAGAGAGAAGTGTCAAGCGGTAGCACACGGGAGGAACAGAATGCTATGAAAGTGTAGGACACAAGAACATCATCTTTGGGTAGGAATGGGGCACAGCTAGCTTCCAAGTAGAAAGTGTAGGACCAGGCAAGGCAACCGGTAGAGTGAGGGTCTGTGTGCACAGGGCTTTGGTGAAGTTTTGCTAGGCAACAGATTATTCCAGACATTCCTTTTCTCTGGTATGAGCTTCTGTGTTGTGGCTTAAAGTTGCAAACAGCTTCTGGAACAATTGGATGGAATTCTGAACTCTGCAGTATTTCCAAGTCACTGACTTCTATCTGGGAAGTAGAGAACCTGAAGGATCTGTGTCACATCAGCTGGCATCCCTGCCTCCCTCCAAGGACTGATAGCGCAGTAGCAAAGCTCTTGGCCTGCAGGAGTTGTGCTTGGGACTCAGCTACTGAATGGGCTATTACTTAGGGGACAATGGATCAAGATCTTGTCTAAAACATTCTCCTTTTCCTTCCCCCTCCCCACCCAGGTAATCATGGTAACAGGGGATCATCCCATCACTGCCAAAGCTATTGCCAAAAGTGTGGGCATCATTTCAGAAGCCAGCGAGACAGCAGAGGACATGGCTGCTCGACTTAATGTCCCTGTCAGCCAAATCAATACCAAGTGAGACCCCAACAGAACTCAGAGTTGACATGTCCCCCTCTATCCTCAACCTGTCCCATCAAAAACCCCTTCCTAAAGTTCTGGAGTCTCCTTCAGCAAGTAGGATTGTGATATATATA